TGCCCCCACAATCCGGGTCCTCATTTCACCCACCTCGGAAAGGATGGAAGGCTGAGTCGACCTTGAGCCGGTGAGATTTGAACTGCTGAACTGCAGATCACAGTCAGCTGAAGTGGCCTGCAGTACTGCACCCTAACCAGTGCGCCACCTCGGCTCTAATTGTATAGTCTTGAAAATTCTTTGGCCCACGTATAAGTGGTCCTCAACGTATGACCATCATTGAGTCTGGAATTATGGTTTATTAAGTCTGCTGGTTGTTAAACGGGTCATCCCAATGCCGATCTGATTTTTTTTTTTTTTGCAGTGGTCATTAAGCAACCATTATGGCCATTAAACAAACTTGTTGTCTGCAAGGGATGGTTTTGTTTTGTTTTTCCTTGCTGGAAAACAGAATGCTAATTTCCAGTTTAAAAAAAGTAATATTGCAGTCACATGACTGTGAGATGTTTGTTGGGACTTAAAAAGTAGTAGCAGAATTGTATCATGGCTATGAAAAAAATGACCCTAGTAACAGGTACAAGCTATTATCCACAAGTCATAGGCATTAGGCAAAAGTCTAGAAAGATTCGGATCTTCCTTTGATTCAATTTTGTACTGGAATTAACTTTAAAAAAAGTTGGTTCACCAAAAAGCAAATTGTCTTTGTTTGTTTGTTTTAGCCATTATATTGCTTCAAGCAAGAAATATTTGCAAGAAGTACTGTTTTAGTACTTACTCCCTCTGATTTCTTATCTGGATAGATGCAAGTTTCCCCATCAGCTGTGAAGTTACAGTAAACTTTGAAAGAGTCTCCGGTGCACCCCTGGTTAGGATCAATCCAATACTCTCCTATTAAAAAAATAAAATAAAAAGCAATCTCATTCATTTGACTGATTCCAAGGCTTAATTGCTGATTAAATGGTTTGTTTTAAGTAATAACCTTTACAATGTGTTATTGTGAAAATTGTCGTTTCAGAAATCTTAATGTTTTGAAGAACTATACATTGGTACTAAGAGCCCAGTAGGAACACCAAAATGAACAAACACGGTAACAAGCAGCATTTCATTTTAGACATGCCAAGTTTATAACCAGATGATTAAACCTGATTTTTTTCTTTACTTAATCCATATCAATTATATGACAGTGCAATGCAGTGGTGGGATTCAAAAATTGTTCTGTAGGCGTGGTTTTGTGAGCGTGGCAGGGAAAGGATACTGCAAAATCCCCATTCCCTCCCCACCCCACTAACCTGCTTTCCAGCTCCGTTCTCAATTCAGGGCAACAAAAGAATATCAACTGGGAGGCAGCAGGGGCGTGGCCAGCCTATTTGCCGGTTCTCCGAACTACTCAAAGTTTCGGCTACCGGTTCTCCAGAAGCTGTCAGAACTGGCTGACTACCACCTCTGGTGCAGTGGCAATGTAGAAGACCATTGTTATTTCAAGGAGGTCAGTAACATACTTTGATACGTTAGGAAAAGTCTATAAGTTCAGAGTTTATTTTGAGCTAAACTGATTGGTGTTTTTACTCGTTTACTGAATAAAGGAGAAGAGGGAGGAATCTTCAAAAAAATTTCTTGCTGTGAAAATCTCAGACTTTTGATTCTGATCCTAGAATCAGATCTTGAAATTGTCCTGATTATAGTAGGACCATGAAGACATGCTGTCAGGTCAGGTTGTGATAAAATTTTGGGGGTGGTTTTTGGTTGAGAGTTTCTACATAAAGCCCATCATTGGATGCTGTGGAAATTGGCTGTCCTTCGGGTATCCCTGCTATTGTGATTAAGGAGCTCCTGGCAACTTGTAAAAGATTTGGGTATCCCCTTGCTTGGAATGTATCTTTTTTAATGTTTTGCTTTTAAATCTGTTTTCTTGAGCTAATAATAAAGCTTAAAATTCCTTTATTTACTGGATTGTTCATTGAATACAAAGGAACCAAATGACCTGGGGCCTGGGCATCTGATCATTGCCCTTGGCAAAACAGACCGTGTGGAAGAATACCGGGCGCAAGAATAACATATACGAAACAAAAAATGATATCCACATTTAACAATATACTTCAGCTCCCATAATGATTCCTTTCAAAGCAGAGAAAGAAGACAGTGAATAAATACCTCTGTGTATTTTTCTTTTTTTTGTTTTTCCTTTGTCCCTTCTCATAAAATTTGTCAAAGCTTTAGCAAGTGTCTTTTATAAATCTAATAAAGGAAAATTATCCAGATCTTTAGGTTTGTTACTTGCACATGTCTTTTAATAATGAAGACTTCAGCAGATTTGAGTTGTATTGATATGGAAAAATCTGGGTATCAGTGTATCATCTTTTTCCATATCATCCCAAACATTCAATATCTATCATTTTAAACTACATTTAAAGATCAGTCTCAGTCTTGTCCAGTGGAACTTGTACCTCTTCCATAACTTCATTTAAATATAGTCTGTCTACAGAGACGGGCACTCTTAAAATTAACTTGTAAGTCCACTGTTCACAAATGGCCTTCAATATGTCCAGTATTAAAATACTGTGCTCCATTCTGTATTAATAAATCATTTTTAAGTGTTCTCCTTTAGATGTAATCTTTAGTTCCTTCTGGTTCCTTCTGGTTCCCTGTAGTGTCCAACTTTCAAAGTCCCATGCTATGATATATTTTTTTAAATAATTCTTTTAAAAAATTACCCACAGGAAGGTGTTGTGGTCCAGAAGGTGCCATAGGAGCTGCTGCCAGACTCCAACAGCGAAGGGTCTTATGAGGAGGTGGAGGACCCTGGACAGGGTGTCAACTCCGAGCAGGATGAGGAAAGACTGGTTGGCTACCAGGTGGTGGCAGAGCATTGGATCAAAGGGAATGTTCATGAAAACATTTGGGAGTTGTATCAGGATGCATGCAGGTGGAGGGCTACTCAGTGTAAAGAACAAAGGAGTAACTACAGGAGGTGTTTACGAACAGCTGATGCTGATCAAGATCCCCTCCTGCTGATAAAAGGGACTGCTGATGACACGCCCTGGTTGCAGAAGTCAACGTTCTTGTTCTGGGTCTTGTTCATGTTCACAAACAAGAGAAGCCAACTTGGATAAGTGGCTTGATAAGAGAAGCTGGGGTTGCAGTGTTTTGTGAGTTATAGGACTTTCTGCCAGAGCTATTATCTCTGTTTATTTGGGATTGCAGCCAACAAGAGCTTGGACTGATTAAAACATTCTTTTCTACGTCTGTGTTGGCTTTCGTTCCTGGACAGACAAGGTGGGGGTCAGAACAGGAAGGTTTTTTATAATTAATTTCCAAACTCTTATTTCAAATCCAACTGGACCTTAAGTCCATTGTAATATTTCAAAAACAATGTTCTAATCGTTTTGCTAAAAAAAAAAGTCCTTAAACTTGTATTTAAGTTTTCTTTCATTAAGAATTGAAAGGAATTCACTGACTGAGTACTGTAAAGTTGTCGATCCAAAGATTCCATGTAATAAGAAACAGTTAACAGACAATTTCCAAAAGTGATCCAATCTACCAACTGCAGTTTGAGCTTTCATTCATCTCTCAGAACTCTAAGTCCACTAAAGACTGATGTCTTGAAGTCTCTTCACAAGAAGTAACCACTTGGAGTATTTGTAGACAATCTCAAGCCCTCTCCTTGGCCAGAAAGGAATTATGAAGAACCACTCCACTTGCTAGCTTTTAAGTCTGCCATGATCATTAGTTCCACTTTCATAGAGATGTTTCAAGTTTACCAGCTCTTCCCTGGAAGTCCTTAACTAACATGATATTGTTCTGCCAAATCCCACCTGCTTTTTGTCCTGATTTCAAGCCAGCAATGCAAAGCAGTTGCAGAACAAGACAGTGATTTACCGAGTACAATGAAGCCCTTTATAAAAAGCTGCCAATGTTGAAGTGATACTTCGCTTATTTCAGCAGAGGCAAATGTATGACCGATAATAAACATAGTTTTCCAGGCCTAACCCAAGAGACACTGAGATGGAGGTAGGCTTTCTTTTTTGATCCACCAAAGCAAACAAAAAGATATACATCTGGAAAAGCTTAATATGATACGAAGGCGAGGGCTCACAATTTACATAAAGAACATCCCAACGCCAACGAAAGGAAGGAAGAGAAATTTGGCAGGTCATTCAGAAGAGAATCCCTCGCCATGGCAGAATACCGGTTTGCATTGATATTTTGTATAGAACCTGGAGCTCGGAATATATAGCACAGATGCTCTCAAGAAGACAGGGAATATTAATTTGAAAGTCAGTCATTGCAAATGTGAGGCAGCTACAACTTCAAAAAAATTCCTCACCAATGGAGACAACACCATCAACAGAGTTTACTGAGTGATTTTTTTTTTAAAAAAAACTTGTTCAGTTTCAAAATTAACTTTACTCAGTGTCAGCCTCCACAACGCGACTCAGCTGCAAATTCACAAACACCCATATCAAGTAGATTTATGTGACAGTTAAGCTGTCCTGGTAGATTCAAGTGTGTTAAATTCGTCCCCAAATAGAAATTTTCTTGTCTATTTGCCAACTCTATGCAAAGAGCCATTTATGTGTGTGTGTGTGTGTGTGTGTGTGTGTGTGTGTGTGTG